CTGAGCCACCCAGGCGCCCCTTACTCTGACTTGTTTTTACTTGGGAGGTCATTTTCTTTATTTAAGTCTGAAGATTCCCCATAAACGGTAACCTAATACAATGAAGTACCCACCCAAACTCTATCTAGAAGTACATTGAAATGGTGGATAAAATATATCAAAAAAAAAAAAAAAGAAGTTCAAATATATAACCAAATCTTAAAAAGAAATAAAACAGTAAAGAAAAGAAACCAAGAATCAATGGAAGAAATAAAGAGAAAGGAAGGAACATCCTCAGGTATTAAAAATGAAAAGAGAAATTAAAGCCAGAACTATGAATGGTATGTCAGCAATCCAACTGTCCAAAGAGGTGTTTCAATAACATTGTGACCTAGACTTGATGGGTTATGAAGCTGGATTTCATATCTCTGCATGAATCCAGAAGATTCACAGGACTGCTCAGTGCTAGGAATAGAAACTAGTAAAACCACTGACTACCCCAAGGAAGGGTAAGGATGTGTATTCTTTGCCCAATCTCTGGGTTAAAAAATATATATCCTCCATAGAAAATGAAAAGCCCAAGCATATGTAGAACATGACAGATACAGGACATAGGAGAAGGATCTTAATTTCTTCTCCCAGCATAGTAACATGTCTAGAAACACAGCAAATATCATAGCAGTTAGTTGCAATCTGGAGCCAGACTTGGGTTTGAATTCTAGCTCTGCCATGTATTAGCTGCATGACTTTGCACAATCTATTTAAAACTCCCCACCTTAAAATGGAGATATAATTGTATATGTATGTATGGTTACTGTGGAGATTAAATCCATTAATATAAATAAAGTTCACAAAACAATGCCTGGAAAATCATAAAAACTCAAAAAATGTTACTTGTTGCTGATAATCCTACTCCTCCTATTCTTCTTCCTCCTTCCCCTTTTCTTCCTCCTCCTCTTACAATTACTATTAATCTGGATCCCCACAAAGAAGATGCAAACCATTCTACACAGATATGCTCAGGATGCAGGGCACAAGACAACAGAGTTAAAGACGTATTCCTCCCAGCAGCTAAACTCATAATCAAAGTCCACCATGAAATGGGGCACCTGGGTGGCTCAGTCAGCTAAGCATCTGCCTTCAGCTAAGGTCCTGATTCCAGGGTCCTGGGATTGAGCCCCCTGTTAGTCTCCCTGCTCAGCCAGGAAGTCTGCTTCTCCCTCTGCCCCTCCCCCTACTTGTGCTCTCTTGTGCTCTCTCTCTCAAATAAATAAAATCTTTTAAAAAAATTCCCATCATGAAAGAGAATCAGCAGGCGAACAAAATGAGACTATTAGTATTAAGAAGTAATATAAGTTAGTTAAAACAGGAAGCACTGACAAGGAAGACTAATAGGAAAATAACCCATTAGAGCTCATAGATATTTAAAGGGACTAATAATAGTTAAGATTAGAAATTTAGTGGATAAACAGTATGGAGGTTTCTCAAAAAGTTGAAAATAGAGCTACCCTACGACCCAGCAATTGCACTACTGGGTATTTACCCCAAAGATACAAATGTAGTGATCCAAAGGGGCATATGCACCCCAATGTTTATAGCAGCAA